AGACAATTCTTTTTAAACATATACGACTCGGCAGCAGTTTGTAAATTGGTTTGACTACAGAGTATAGGGTTTCTTTATTACATGGTTTTATATCATTGAACTGGCTTTTGTTTTTACATGCAAAGTAATATATTCTCATTTCAGTGATATGCACAAATCGAGTAATTTTGAATAAAAGACATTTATATAATTTTTATCCTTAATATTATTCAAATTAGCACAAGCCGAAAATAAGCAACTAAAACACCCACACGGCACATTTAATAATCATTCGATAATTTTGTTTTCGTCTATTTGTTGTTGACTTTAAAACAATTTGATCTGCTAAATGAAAACAAAGTTCTAAACACAAATTAATATTTTAAAAAATAAATGTTTGTTCAAGATTGCACCATATTACTTTAAACAACTAATTGATAATTATTACTCCACATCGCATCGTTATTTTTACAAATACAAATCAATGAGTAAGGAAGCTACACATTCTGGTTATTGTATAAAGTTTTTAGTTAATTTGCCTTTCTGTTTAGGACTTTTCAAGTGCGCAGGCAAACATGATTTTGCACAGAACGACTCCGGCCAAAGGCAGTGCGAAAACCATTTGAGTATATAGAAGACGCCCTCATAAATATAATGGCATTTCCCACAATCGATTCAGTAAGTTTTAATATAATATACATAGTATACACATTGTTAAAGAGAAAGTTCTAAATACGCAACAAACAAATAATAATAAAATATAATAATTACGCTTCTCATTCATCACTTTAAAGCGCAAAAATTTGCAAAAACCACATTATACATTTGGAAATATCTATTGGAATTAAGTTCTAAGAAAAAAAACTTATTTGGCATAAAAATACATACAGTACTTTAATTCTACTTGATTACCAAATAATTTGTAAATAAATAGAAACACATTGTGTAAATAAAATTGCATAAAATTAAATTACACCATACTATTAATAGGTCGTATTCGCCGCACGTTAACCTTAACGTTAACGGATGACGTCATAATTTATTCATCTTGCGTTGCAGAGTACGTTAATTTCAGGATTTTACGTGCTCAACAGACGTACGTTAGTTTCGATTTGTTTACAAAAAAGGCGGAACTCTCGCGTTGCATGCTGGGTACTAACGTTAAAGTCAATGTCGTGCGGCGAAAACTACCTAATAGTTACACTTTTCTCTTTAAAAATGTAAGAAACATGAAAACATTAAACGGAAAATGTATCGATCTGTAATGTGGATCAGCATAAACATAGCACATTTCTTCTGAATATGATAGATAATCGTCAATAAATTTAATCACACAATTACGTACGCACGATATATAAAAAGTGAATGCTCTTGTAGCCTACCTAACCTAAGTAAGAATTTACTGTGTATAAAAACACTTTAAGACAGAACCGTTAAATACTTCATTAGATTATTTACCCAGTTCTTTTTCGTTTATCTAGTATGCATTTTGTACACACTTTTGCTACTGCTCGTTCCTAGGCCTATATAAATACTGCACACAAACACACTAATGACGTTATCAGGGGCCTGGTCTATTGATTATTGGCACATGAACATATAATAAACTACGACCTGCGTACACGAATGGATAGATCAACTTATATCAATAAATGGAAGATCTCTGATGGTGTATCACTTTCATGAATACTAGGAGATAATCCTTCAGCAAATAGAATATACGATGCAAAATAATCTTGTGGACACTGTATACCGTAAACAGGGAACTTTGTTCTATTTTATTGTCACAAAAGGTATTACATCTGAAAATGATCTGGTGCTTTCTCAAGTTTAAACAAGTAAATACTAACATTTTAAATGCTGCATCATTTTGTCTTGATCAATTATGAGTTTAGTAAGTCTGAATATACTGTAAATAAACAGTATTCTAACAGGCCAACACGGGGTTTTGTATATATAATCAAAGATAATAAATAGCAGAAGATAGAGAGCAGCTTTCCAATATAGTAATTTATAGAGCAATTTTACCCCGTACGCGCGGCAGTGCTATATAGCAATAATAAATAGAGCCGTAAATAGAGAGAGTTTGGCCAACTTGGCGCATGGCGCCATGTTCTTACCAAACAGCGTGCGCGCGTATTAGCTTTATAACACTTTCTAACACTGATGCTGCATAAACTTTCTTTTATTATTCTGTTCATGAGGACAATTCAATTATGGGATTTTAATATATCCTATCGCGTTAGTTTGTGGCTCGCCAATGTTTTGTTTTGGTGACAACATGGCC